AAGTCCACAAGTCTTAAAGTTGCCAAGGTTGGACACCCCTGTGCTACGCAGGGGAGCTCTGGAGGGGAAACCTCTGCATTAGACCCCCTCCGTCTCTTGGCTTTGGATTCCTGGCCAAGTTTCTGGTCCCCAGGCAGGCCGGGAGGGAAGAGGATATGCCCCTCCCTCTGCAGACGTCGCTGACATGGCGGCTCGTCCTCTCAACTCCTCTCCCAGGTTCTTCAAGCTTCACGAGCGGAAGTGCGAACCGATTATCATGACCGTCCCCAGGAAGGTGAGCCCCGGTTCTTCTGGGTCCGGGAGATTCAGCAGGGCAACTGACCGGGTTGACGCCTGTTTCTTTCCCTCCTCCTCCTCCTCCTCCTTTCCCAGTCCGACCTCTTCCAAGATGACCTCTACCCGGACACAGCTGGGCCCGAAGCCGCCCTGGAAGCCGAGGAGTGGTTCGAGGGGAAGAACGCTGACCCGCTCCTCATCTCCCTGAAACACGGCTACATCCCAGGGAAAAACCGGGACCTCAAGGTGGTCAGGAAGAACATCCTGGACAACAAGCCGGCTGCCAACAAGAAGAGCGATCTCATCAGCACCCCAAAGAATGTGCCGGACACCTCAAACCCCGTGAGTATTAAAAAAAAAAAAAAAAACCTCTCCACCGCACCGGACAGAATTATTGTTCTGCTTCATCACCTGTGGTCCAAATCCATCCTTTTCTGTCAGCCTCGGCCGCAGCCGAGCTGGGTTGGGGCTTCCCTCATCCCTCCCCCTCCCCATTCTGGGCTCTTCCCGCCCCCACTTCAGGACCGACCCTTTTGCCTCTTTCTCCTTGTCGCAGCAAAACGAAGCCAAATTGGAAGAAATCTTGAAAGAGCTCCGGTCGCTCAAAGACACAATCGCGCACCAGGACGAGCGCATTTCCAAACTAGAACAGCAGGTGGCGAAGATGGCCGTCTGAGAGCCAGCTGGGGTGGGGGGCGGAGAGGGGGCTTCTGCGGCAGGGGGAGGAGGAAGCAGTTCGGACTGTGAGCCACCTGCAGGGCTATGGAGAGGGAGGGGCCCAGCCAGCCGGCCCAGCCCAGCCCCGTCGCGGCTGGTCAGCGGAAGCGCCTGGCAGGGCAGCCAAGCCCTTCCTAGCAAGCAGCCCCTCCGTGTGTCCTGACATCTTCGTGGCCAGAGCAGACACTGCCGCCTCCTTCCTCACGCCTGTCCATCAGCCGGAGGGTCAGCCATTCCACGGGACCCGCAAGACGCCAGCTGGAATCCCTGCCGGACTTCCTAGAATCGGGGACCAAAATTTCTTGGTTTCAAAACACACACACACACACACACGTTTTTTTCCCTTTTACTTTCGAGTTGCCAAAATCCAAAACTTTTTATTGTTTTAATTTTTTTTCCTTTCTAGCATTTTTACAGTATTTTGTAAAAGGTTGTTGCGTATTTGTGCCATCTCAGCAACAAATAAGTTGTGTATGACTGTTTACTTTCGAGCACCCGGTGCAGCCACATCACTGCCGGTTCCGAAAGACTAATTTTAATGTTCCTGCCCTCCCGATTTCTGGCTCCCCTGAAATTTGCGTGGATTTGAGGGCGGGGAGGCGGCCTTGCTTTCCCACCCGCTGCCGTTCCAAGGGACTGAACCCCCCCCCCCCACTTCCCCCGGAGCGTCTTCTCTCAAAAGCTGGGGAGCCTTTATGCCAACATGGGTTGAGCTTTCGTTTAATCTTAATCATTGTGTCAAACGTTGGCATGCTGTGATTGCGGATTTCTGCCTCCATGTTTCCTGCAGATGTTTGTTCTATTTATCATCCAGGTGTTACAAGGTTATAAAAAAAAAAACCCGTGATGAATTTGGGACATTAAGGACAAATGCACTAAATTTTGCAAGCTGTTGGGAAGGTCTCCGAAGTTATTTACATGCCCCCCCTCCCTCCCTCCCTCGCTCTGCTCCAAGCTCGGGCTGATCCCCAAACCCTCAGCGTCCCCCCTCCTGGTCGCACAAGGCCCTTCAGCTGCGAGAGACATCCAGGGCTTTGGGGCAACTGAGGCGTCCAGCTTGGCCGTCCGTCCTCCGCAGCAGCTCCATGGGCAGCCGTAGGCATAGGAGCCCGGACAGTCCCGTCCCCCCCCCCCCCCGCCAAGGGGCTTCCCAGCTTAAGTGAGGGTTGACAGGGGAGGGGTCCAGTGGCGCTTACAGATTCCTTCTGGGGGTCTCGGGGATCTTGTCCGGGACGCCCCAGCCTTCCCAGGCCTTCTGGAAGTGCTGGGGGATTTTTCCTGTTTCCTCAAAGGGGGATCCGGGCTTCACTAGGCCCCAGGATGGAATCTGGGAGGCCCCAGGATGTTTACAGAGGTGGTGGCTGCAACTGAGGGTGGCCTTTCCATCAGGCAGAAGAGTTCCCCGCTGCTGGCTTCTTCCGAATGCGAAAGCAGACCTCTGAATAGAAGGGGGAAGACTTTCCTTTCTTCCTTCCTTCCTTCCTTCCTTCCTTCCTTCCTTCCTTCCTTCCCTTCCCTTCCCTTCCCTTCCCTTCCTTCCTTCCTTTTGCTGGGAAGGCAAAAGATGGCAGCCTTGGGGGGTGCCAGAGGATGGACCCCAGAGGCAAAATGCCACAGGGATTCTGGGAAGGTGATGCTGTCAGAAGTCCCTTCAGGAGCCACCCTCATGGGGACTAGAAGCCTGTCGTACAGCTTGGAACATGGGGATTGTTACAAGTAGATGTGGGCACTAAAGGCTAATTTGTGGATGGATGTTTCTAACATTTTCTGTGGCTTTTGGTCAGCCAACAATCCTCCTCCTGAGTGGCTTCCAGTGGCTCAAAGTCCTGTTGGCCTCTGCTCCAAGCACGATGTGCCTGCCATGTTCCCACAACACACACACACATACACACCAGGGTTAAAGTCCCAAGGAGAAGAGCTTCCTTTCTCCTCCACCGTCTTGGGTTAGGATCCCTAAGGTGGTCGTTAAAAAACCCAGACAAGATTAGAATACAAGATTAGAATGCAGTTGTGCCTCCGTCCATCCACCGGTGTGGGAAAAGAAGTCATGTGGACAGATAAGAGAAAGTTTGCAGGAAATGGGTTGGAGGCAAAGACCCAACAAGATAAGATGAAGGTCTAGAATGAAGATACAAATGAGTGGGAAAGTTAACGAATGTTGGTGGGGGTGAATCCTGAGTTGGGGGAGTTTGGTTCCCTTGTGATAGAGATGGGCAAAGAGTCTTCAAAAGAAGGAAGGGCGATTTGCATTTTTGCCCCCGTTAGTTTCACTGCCAAACTAAGTTTTTCCAACTTGGCATCTTCCGGACTGCAGCTCCCAAGATTCCCAGCCGACGCCACAGAATTCTGGGAATTGTAGTCTAGAATGGGCCTCCGACCTTGGCAACTTGAAGGCTTGTGGACTTCAACTCCCAGAGCTCCTCAGCCGGCAAAAGTGGCCAAGGTTGGAGACCCCTGCTCTAGAGGATGGAGAAAGGCATTACGTACACCAGGCCAGCTTCACCCTTGGGCATGTTGTGTGTTTACAGCCAGCAGAAGGTTGGGGACCAGGGGTGGGCAATTACGGCCTGTGGGCTTCACCTCCCTGAATCCCTGAGCCAGCCAGAATTCTGGGAGTTGAAGTCCACAGGTCGCGAAGGGGCCGTCGCTGCGCATCCCTATTGGAGACGGAGGGAGCGAGATCCTTCTCTTTCAGAATCGTGCATGTTTCCTTCTGCCTCGACAGTATTACTTTCCCTGGTGTGATTCTTGCACTTTCCCAAGAGCTGCGTGGATGGAAGTCCCTCGGACGCTCCCTGAGCCATCGATGATTTATTTCACGACGGGACAGGTGACGCTGAGCCTGCAGCGTCTTGCTCCCTAGAACATGGCCAGCCATGGTCCCCGAGGGGATGTGCTGGTAGAAGACACCCCACGTACACAATTGTGTCATGTCCAAATCCTTGCTTCCAATTTCAAACGATTAAAAGGAAATTGCCAAACCCACACCGTGAACCAACTGCTCTCTGTTATTTTGTTTTCTTGCGTGAAGGTGCCCAGTTGACCCTACTTGACCTCTGCAACACCTTGCTCTGAAAGAGGCCCCGGGGGGTCCTGGGGGGGGGGGTGACTGGTTGGTTTGCCAAACAGGTATGTCAAACTACGTCTTCCCTTTCAGAGTTGGCAGGTGGAGACCTAGTTCCAGGGTGGGCTTTTGCGACAACAAAGATTTGACTTTGTCCTGCCTTTTGACCAAAGGCCGAGACCTCGTCAGGACGCCTGTTTTGGCAAAAGGGGCCAAGATCAGTTTTCTGCATCCCAAGAGGAACAAGCTTGAGAAAACCCTGTGGAGACTCAACTTCAACTCCAAACTTTCCAGAGGAGGATGCTGTATTCATCATTCTCTTGAGTAAATCAGACCAACGTGGATTAAATCGGTTCCGCTGGGTTTACTGTTGGCCTCCTGCCCTGCATGAAACCAACTCACAGCTTCAGGTTGAGTTGGTTGGAGCTCCCCTTCCTTGCACCACTTCCTGAGCCTGGAGGATGTGGGGACCACGGCTTGTGGGGAAAGGTTCACCGGGCTCTGAAAGTGGGAGTGTTGTTGGCCAAGAGTGTAGGCGGTGTGAGGGCCAATGGCAAGACACACAGGTGAGGAAGATGATGGTGGGGGTGATTTTTCACTTATTTGGGAGTGGTTAGCGCTCCTCTGGGGGAGATCCAGGGGTCCAAGGACACAAGCCTGCACAAGGGATGGATCACCATTCAAACATTTCCCCCAACGAACACTTCAGGACTCTGAGCAGGGAAGGCACAGTTGCAACTCATTTCCCACACTCGAACATAATGCTCTTTGGGGGAGGGGGGGAATCGCTCCCTCCCCTGCATACATCCGTAAATAAAATTTTGAAAGATGAAACTGCTAAAGTGGTGCAGGTAGGGAAGCCAGAGGTGTGTTCTTGTGGTCTTTTTGAGAGAGGTGGTGTCAGCAACAGAACCCAGTGAAAGAAAGCAGGAGAAGAATTGGCTAAATATGGGACACAACTCAGGGGTGGGAATCCACTTGGAAGAAGCCCTCCCTCGGCTCCCAAGAGGTTCTGCCTCCTCCTCTCCTCCTGCCCCCCTCCTGCCCTTCCAGAAGTGGCGTAGGAGCAAGGCCAGATGGGGGCCCTTGGGGGTCTTCGGCAGGCTTTAGGCCTCCTTGGGCTGAGCCTCCGTGTCCATGAAGAGACGTGTCCCATCCAGATGTTTCCCACTGAGCCTTAGCTGGTCCAGCACCTCCTCAATGCAGAGAAACCGAGCACAGAACCGCAACAACCCCCCCCTCGCCCCCCAGGCCCTGATCTGGTGCAAAGCCTCCTAACCACAGCTCTTCTCTTGACACCCATACACAGAGCCGCCTTCCTCTCCCCACAAAGGAAGCTGCATCATGTGTCCTCCAAACTGCTCTTCTGATTTCACATTCGCACGCTGCCCGGCACAGGGTTCCCGTTTTCTCTCGTAGCAGGTAAGCTGGACTCGGCCAGAGGGGAATTTCTTGGCGTTGACTAGGAGAACCCGGCTGCTAGAAGAAGAGCCGGGGCTAAGGGTGGCTTCTGTCCCTCACGGATGTCTTCTCTGGCAATCGGACCAAACAGCGGTTTAATGTTCCTGGCTACGTTTCCTTTTTGGGTGGTAGCTGAGGTGGCTGGCTAAGGGGGGCGGGGGCAGGACATTGTGGTGGTGGGGAGAAGCAGCAGCCTCAGGTTCTGGTGAGGTTTAGGCTCCTGGAGGCCAACTGGACTGCCGAAGGTGTGATCCAGAACTTCATTCCCAGGGATGGGGCTGGTTGAAAGTGGCTTTGGGGTCTCTGGTGTAGAGAAGATGGAACAAGCCAACCTCACTTCGTTTGTCCTTCCGTACGTGGGTTTGTGAAAAGAAATCGATGCTTGGAGACACGGCGACAACTTTGCGTTCTGAAGATCTTGATTTGCTCAACTGGCAGCAGTCGCTTGCTCACTTTCGGGCTGCTGGGGGCACTACGGAAATCAGCAAGTGGGCACAACCCGATTGCAAAGATTGCAAGGACGGATTGCAACTTGTGGTAAACTCGTAGGAAACTTTCTTAGTCAGAGTCCTCCTCCAGAAAGGTCTGAAGTTGAGATTCTGAGCTGTCTGTTCAGCTTCCTTACGTGTCCTGTCCGTCATCTCTGTGCAAGACTGCCACAAAATAATCTCCGTGGGGCTTGGTAATGTAAATATTGGAATGACTGACGCGTCTCTCTGGTGAGCATCTCTCTTGAACCACATGAAGCAAGAAGAGCTGTTCTCAGAAATGAGGATCTTAAAATAGGAGGGAAGGTGGAGCCTTGTTTAATTTTTCATCCAGGCCCGTTGAGATAAAAGACCTTTTCCTGTCCTGTTTTCACTAGGTAAGTTGGATGTTGAGCTCCATTCTTCCCTGATTTCTTAGCTATGCTGGAGATGTTTTTGTGAAGGAAAAAATAGAGGGTGATGATTTGTGTGGACACCTGATAACCTGCGTCTTTCATTTTCTCCTACTTGCATCAGGCAAAATGGCTTCCTGGTGGACCTTCTGGGCCTTGGTTCTCTCAGGCTTCTTCCTGTCTGGTGATTTCAAGAGTATACAAGATGGTGCCAGCACGAAGAACGTGGAGACTCCTGCCAACACGAACGATTGGAAGTGGAAAGCAGCAGCTGAGGGAGGTAACAGATCCTCTCCGTTGATCCCTCAAGAAATCCCTCAGGATCAAGTGAAGAAACATGCCAAAATGCCTCCTGCCCTTGCAACAGCTTCAACCCTCTTGAAGATTCTCCAGGAAAAGACCACCTCCTTTCCCACGGAGACCATGACCAAAATTGCATTCACTCCAAAGAACGTACTGCCAGAAACCAAAAGTCAGGCTAAATCAAAG